GAACAAACCACTGTCTTCCTCTACTCGTATGGTAACAAAGCTCGAACTAGCAGACTAATCTTGATCGTTTACCTCATCGGTCAAGTCATGTTTACCGGCTGTTTTACACGCTTAATCGTATTTGTCCTATCAGGTAGGATCATGTTCAATTCCCCCAGCGGGGCCAACTGCGTCTTTATACACTGACGTGTGCGTGTTATAAAATGCCCGACTATTGTGCCCTTGTTGCACACCCTGTTCATCTGAGGCGATCGCAGATCCCATACTTAACAGACTTACGGCGACGTTAACGATCCCATACTTAACAGACTTGCGACGACGTTAACGATCCCATACTTAACAGACTTACGACGACGTTGCAGATGCCATACTTAACTTTACTACCAACAATTGGTTATACCTACTTGGGTTGTCAGTCAAGACGTGATGAGGTAATTTTACGACGATGTCGTATTGGCCACAGTCGGTTTACTCATGACTATGCTGAAAACGGATGGGGATGGACCCCCCATGTGTGTCTCTTGCGATGAGGTTTTCACCATCAAGCATATTCTGCTTGAATGCGTGGACTTATCGTCTGCAAGGGACTCACATTATGATGCAACAAATCTGAAAGATCTGTTCGCCCGCGTGAGCGCTCATCTCATAGTGAACTACCTGAGGGAAGTTGATCTGTATCATAAATTGTAACTGTCAAATGTAACTATCATAAATTGTAACTGTGAAATGTCACTAACAAATTGCCTGCCTTTAAATTTGGTGCATTGACTTTTTCTGCTTTTAAATGACAATGTAATGGATAAATGTTTTTGAAATAAAACTCATTCCGAGTATGTACTTACAATGTTTATTAATGCAAACTTGTTCTCGTCACTATATGGCTGGAATAATGCCGATGTGACGCAAACTCAACTCAACCCATACTTAACAGACTTACGGCGACGTTAACGATCCCATACTTAACAGACTTACGGCGACGTTAAGGATCCCATACTTAACAGACTTACGACGACGTTGCAGATGCCATACTTAACAGACTTACGGCGACGTTGCAGATGCCATACTTAACAGACTTACGACGACGTTGCAGATGCCATACTTAACAGACTTGCGGCGACGTTAACGATCCAAAACTTAACAGACTTGCGGTGACGTTAACGATCCCAAACTTAACAGACTTACGACGACGTTGCAGATGTCATTCTTAACAGACTTACGACGATCGCAACTCTTGTTTTTAACACACTTACGACGACCGCGGCTTTAACACAGACCTGAAAGAGGTTGTGCAGGACAGTCTCGAAGTGAAGTTTCAAACCTAGTTTCAAGCTAGCAATAAGATTTGTGACTAGGATTATACCTGTCATGTCGTGGTGGGTGCGGGGCTGTTGTTTCCCGAGGTAGGTTCTGTTATTTAACACCTGGATAACATAAGCCTTAACCGGAGGGTCATGCGGTAGCGGATTCCAGGTAAATAATTTGCGCTGGGTACTGGTGAAAGTGCGCCATCTAGCGGCAGTAATTACCCGGCAAGTGTAACATTAATGTACGTTCATGCAGATAATATTAATTACATATGTTGTAATAAGATGAAGTGTAACACGGTCAAGTGCTCTACACCCTTTATTCGATAAAGCTAAGCGTGACGTGGTTTGTGAGTGAGTGAGGAGGGTTTTTCACCGCCTTTAACAATAGTCAAGGAATACGAGGGCGGAAGGAATCCCCAAGTAACCTAACACAAAAGATTAGCTGTCTTTCCTCAAGCACCTGACATTCTATGACTGTTATTACATGAAAGTTCACCAAGAGCTTCTGAAATATCAGATAAGACAAACGCCCGGGGCTGATGAACTGTTTGCACAGTTGCAACTGTTAGCCCTCCCCCAGATGCAGACAGGTCTCGGTCGCGACCAACAACAGATTTCTGGCCCCTCCGCTATGTTACAGCACACTGAGTAGTATTTACCTAACTACTAGCAACCTTGCACGGCGGGCCCCGAGGGTCTTGAGGCGAACAATGCCTCCACTGTTAGTCTACAACAGGCTTGTGGTATGAAGATACTCTTGCCCCAGTAGCTGGACCAAGGATAGGCTTCATCAATGTCAGATTACCGCTACCGACTCAAGTTCCCAGATCCTCGGGGATCACTCCATCAGGAAAAATCCATTCAGACAAAACTGTTTTAGAAAACCGGATTCATCAGGTTCAGGAGAACTCGTATCTGTGTCCCAGGTGTTGGATATGCTCCGTTAATGAGTTGGCCGAAAGAACAAATACGGTTTAGTTGAAGGCGATGCAGGTTGAAGATCGCATTACATCAGACTAGGTGGATCAAAGGTCGTCTTTGTAAGATCAGTGTTGGTTGGATGGTGCTATTTCTGTGTTGATACATCGGTATAAGATGGAACAGGCCTGAAGAAAGCACACACAATCCTCGGGACACTTAATTTCTGCGCGAAGCAAGTAAAACTCGGATCGTGTGATCACAATGCATTCATGACAAGCTATGTCCAATACGGACGACCTTGATCAACAATTTCAAACTTCAGGGTTCGAACAGATCAGCCATCAAATTCAAGACCTTTTATTGGAGGTTTTGAATCAACAATTTTAAGGAACTATAGAAACACATAATACATACGTATTTGAAAACACACAATGTCGTCAAATGTGGGACTGGGAAAGTTGTATTTGCGATAGAGAATATTTAACACCCACTGTCAAGGTATTTTTTATTATGCATTACTTTCCTGTAAAAGCATAACTTGACAAGTTTTGGTGAATATAGGGCTTTTTTAGGGTAATTAGGGCTAAATCAAATTAAGGTCCATTTCGGGTAAAATCGGACGGGCCCTATTGGCCTGCAATAAATATACGTGTCTATCTATTTGTCACAATACTTTGCAGCGTGTTGTATTTAGACGTTTTTAGTTTTGGGGCAATTTTGTTCACCTCAGCAAAATTCCGGCCATTTACATAAATCATCGAGTCGACCGGACAGTCCAGTGATCATCTCCATGTGCATCGATCTACAGAATTGGGATACGATGTCATGTGTCAACCAAGTCAGCGAGCCTGACCACCCGATCCCGTTAGTCGCCTCTTGCAACAAGCATGGCCGGGTTACTGAACACCGATTCTAACCCCGGGATCTTCATTGGGTTTATGGGAGGTTGCAGTCAGTTTGCAGCTTTTAAAGTCAGTGGGTTCTGATGGCAGCCTAGCATTTGTCTGTTCAAATTTCAGTCACTGATCTACGGTCATGCTAATTAACCTGGCTTTTCGTGTCATCAACCATCTGCTTGCGTGGTCCAGGTTCTGATAATATACAAGCATGTATTATGTACAATGTTTTATGACGGTCTATACTGTTTAGCAACACTCATTAACTATCCCCGATTATTCACTGTATCTATCCCAAATCTACCATAATATCCTGGCACCATTTGCCACCACGCTTCATTTCGGAAGTGACGTCACAATCATTTGACATTCATCTCGCTCTTGACAGTAATTTAATGGGAATGCTACTTTAGTGTCGTGCGTTCTGAATCCGATTCCGTTAATCCGCCTAGCAACTACAGGGTATTTTCAAAACGGAATGTAATACACGGATAATCGAGTATGTCATTGCCCTAGTATGCACCAGTGACGTTTTAGTGACATGGCAGACTGTGGCGTACGAGCCCTTTAAATCGCTAACAAATCTGAAAGTAAAAAATCTTTCAACGGGTTGTTCAACATGAAATGTCAGGACATATAGTACAGGCGCATCTTATTCAGAAAGGGGCAACGTGTTGATTATTCATAGCGTAATAAAGTCAAATAACGGATTCACACAATCTGCACCCTGGTAGGTTTATGAATTATGCATACGCCTGTGACTGCACTTATTCTAATATATTCAAGATATTACAGATGACATAAGAATATACCAGCTGTGCAAGGCTTTGCAAAGTGATCTTTTATCAATTAGGCATACATTAGTCGAGTTTAATCAAATTAAACCCGAGAGGCCACAATGTCGACCGTGGACGCCAGTTAGGCTACAAAGTGTCTTTTATCCGACATAAACCCGAAATAGTCATTATGTAAACTCCGGCAGTTGTGTCAGAGGATGCGTATGTGCGTATTCAGTTTAATGTGAGACTTTAACAGTTTATACACAATACCGGACGCCGTCAACCGGAACAAATTATATGAGCTCAGTTTGATAAACACAGGCGATCCGTTGTGTAAATGTTGTCCCAGTCGCAAACATCCATCAGTGACAACTTAAAGAGGAATTGACTGCCTTCACTGTAGTACAGTGGTACAGTGTTTGTGTGCTCAGGACCTTGAACTCGCCTTGTCAGCTATGTAAAATGGGGGTGAGTGAGTGAGTGATCATGGTTTTACGCCGATTTTAGAAATATTCCAGGAATATCACGGCAGGGGAAACGGGCTTCACAGATTGTACCCATTTGGGGAATCGAACCCGGGTCTTCGGCGGGACGAACTAACGCATTAACCACTAGGCTTCCCCACCACCCCTATTTAAAATGTACTGACAACAGTCATATATATTTTACGTATAAAATTTACGTTCCCATATGTAATGTCGGGGACAATGCCAATTTACAATTACATATAAAGGCTTAGGCATATAAATATACCCTTGACATTCCCATTGTCTAAATGTACGTCAGTGGTTTGCCTGGTCCAGAATCAAACCTACACCATCGTCATGTACTAGTACCTGCAACACTGCCATTTCACATAATTAAGTCATTTCATTTGGCATGAATTGTAGTTCAGAGAAGAACGCCTTTGTAGTACTGTGAAACACGCACACGCACACTGACTTGGACAACGTGTGCATGGACTTAACGTGTCTTACGCATGGGAAATAAGTATAGGTATAGATAGATAGATGCTTTGATCCAGACTTGCCACATCATTTTACATATATATAGTTTTGAGTTACCATGGTTACTGACGCACGTATTTTCTATTTCAGCTGGAAGTCGATACCATGAACAGTTCGACAAGACTGTGGAAGCCTTCCTCCTCGACAACGGCTACACAGGGGGCGCTCTGGCCGCCATGAAAGATGGCCGAATCATATATGCTCAAGGGTATGGCGTCACGAACGAAGGTCGCGAGGTCAAGGACACGACCCTCTTCCCAGTGTCATCCATATCCCAGTCTTTGACAGCCGTTGCAATTCTTCAGCTTGCAGAGATCGGCGCCCTTGACCTTGAAGGAAAGGTTTTCGGCCACGGCGGATACCTTCACATGCTGAAAGCCCACCGACCTGATTCAGTTGACCCAAGGCTCCACGACATCACTGTCCGACATCTCCTCCATCACACTGGGGGATGGGATATGAACAAAGCCCCACTCTTCGACGTCATGCTGAATCCCTACTATCTGATGAAGGGTTACAACGTCCCCAACATCAGCCACATCATGAACTCGCCCCCGCCGCTGTCGCACTACGACACGATCCGGTACATGATGTCTCAAAGACTGGACTTCACTCCCGGTACCAAGACTGTGTACTCCAATCTTGGCTACATCATCCTCGGTCGAATCATCGAGGAGGTTGGTGACACAAGCTACGAAGACTTTATTAAGCAGAATGTGCTGAAACCTTGCGGTATGTGGCACACGCGTCTCGGAAGCAAGGAAAAGATCGACAAGATCGACAACAGGTCGAACAGGATGTCGAAGGACAGCAGCGACTGGCAAGATCTAACTCTGTATGACGTCCTCCATCCTGCTGTCATTGACTCCGCTCTCGGTTGGTACTCCAACGTGTTCGACATGATGCGCTTCCTCCGATGTATTGAGCATCATGACAGTTCGGGACTGATTAATAAGAATTCGTGGGACACGCTGGCCCGCCGACCGGAAGCAGCGCCCGTGCAGCACAGCGCTAACTGGTACGGAACTGGCTTCAGAGCCAGCATCCAAGGAAACATATGGCAGGACGGATACAAGCATGCCAATGACGTTCTGCTCTTCCACAGCCACAAACACGAGCACGCCATCCATTTGCCTGATGCTTGGGTCCTGCTCCTCGACGGCCAGAAACTGAGGCACCTGAAGCACAAGTCCCATGAACTGATGGAGTACCTCGGGGTGGGCTTCTCCCACGATGAGATCATCCTCCGCGACCTCTCCGACGTCCAGGTGCCAGCCACAGTGGTCAAATTCAGCGTTGACGAACACCACCTGCACGCGTACATCAACGCTTTGAAACAAGAGAGTTATGACGTGACGTGGATCAGTGGCCACGATGCTCATCGTCACACCCGCTTCACGGTCATAGCCGAGAAAACCGAACAACCACACGACTACCTCGTTGAGCACGGACTCACGGAAAAGAAACTGTTTTCCAGAAAACTTGCTCTCGAAGACGAAGGCTTCAACATGACATATCTACAAAACTACAAAAGCGCATCCCACGACGAAAGGCACGCCTTTTTAGCCGTATTCCGAAAATCAGCCTTTGACAAGCACACCCACATGAAGTGGGGGATCCACCACTACCCCCGCCCATACGACAAACTCCTTGGTCTGTACATAGAGAAGGGCTACTACCCGACAGTGCAGAGTTACATCCACCACGAAGACGAGGCTCTCCTGTCTTTCATCTTCCTGAAGCGGGACAACCAGCGCAAAGTGAACTTCAAGGAGTACCATGGCCTCAGCATCCCACAGCTCGAGAGGATGGTTCGCTCCAACGCCAACCAGAACCGGAAGCTGACGTATGTGGACGTGTGCATGGTGTACCGGAAGCCACGGTTCTCCGCAGTGTTCACAAACCAAAACCCCAAACAGTGGATATTCGTACCCGAACTCGACCAAGACTCTGCAGATAAGATTATCCGGGAAAAGTTCGCAGAGGGTTACGTTCCCAGGAAAATAGTCGGTTATGCGCGGACTGACAAGAGTGTTAAATACGCCTTGTACGTGGAGAAAGAGTAGAATAGTTTGGGTTACTATCACTACTCGGGTGTACTTCATACATAAGTACCCGCTTACCGTCTCGACGGAGGACACAAAATGTAAAATACAGTTTTCGATCTGTTCAAGATTGGGTTAATACGATCATTTGGCGTCTACCTCTGTTCAGAGATGACAACTTTAGAAGATTAAAGGAAATATATATATATTACTCAAAAACAGTTAAACATATGATTATTTTCAAATGACTTTAGTTAATCTCGCATGTCCATGACAGATTAATTTTCTAGTATATACGAATTGAGTGTTTTAAACTTCTTTGGAGTTCTATATTATATTCTTTTAATGATAAGACGCAACGACTGTATTTAACTACAGTTTATTTTAATTTATTACCACTGAATTTGTCAAAGGTCTTTTTACACGTCGTATCGAGTTAACAATTTCATACATGTTATTTTAGCAGAGTGGAAAATGAATCTTAAGGATTAAAAAATATTAATCAGCAGTAACGTCAGTCGTATGGAAAACAGCTGCTCAGATGGAACTTTGGATACATTCCTTGACACTAACAACAGTACCACATTGAGACATATACTAACTTCCATGCAACTGCTTGTGTGTAATGTTCGCTGCCTAAAATCCTCTGGATAGCATTGCCATGTTGTATAGTTGTGACGAATGTATTAGCGTATCTGGTAAATTATGTGGAAGGGCTACACCGCTCCTGTCTACATTACTACAAGTGCTATATGGTTAATTATCGTATGTATTGTCTACAGATAAAGGGTTAAGTGTTACATCGAGGCTACCAGAATGGCATTTATGGAGCTTGTACATATGTGTCGTAATCTGTACATAATATCAGTGTTGTGTATGTCCAAGTAAATGTGTGTAATAAAACCATTGTACAAAAAACGCTCAAACTTTATTGTGAAGTATAAAAACATGAGTATTGTACCTCAGTATCTTAAGGTAACCGACACAAATCAACTTGGGGGGCGCAACATAATGACATACTCGGGTGTGTCCGTGAATATATTATCACGCCGTTCACAATTTCAACGGAATCTAGCCCTGATTCCACACGGAGACCTCATTAGCAGAGATCACGGCTACAGGAGCACGAAACAATGGCTGATTTCCTGAATCCCGAAGACATGACTGCACAGTTAAGACTGGGTGAGTGACGGTCTGGTTTCCGGGGTCTGGTGCGCTGGGGCTTCACGCTAAATGAAGCGCCAGCGCAGCAGTCTTTGGGAACCAGTCTAGGTGAGTGACCACTGATGAGCAACGTTTCGAACTGAGATGTTGAGATACCAAGCCATTTCGTTCACGCGGATATATTGGATGCATTTGCGCGTTTCAGGATGTTCAGATGCATACTACTCAACGTCTGCTAAGGATCACACCTTTGACTAAAGATAACAATTTGATCTTTAAAATTAATGTGTACATTAAGTAGTATGTAAACCTACTCCATGATAACAACGTATGATGTGTGTCGACGAAAGGGTTCGAGCCAATCGTCCAACCGAACAGGGAGTAGTCAACATGGCTATTGCACGCAGAATAATTGGTTTCACCTCTAACTACCACTTTTATGGTTTCACAATACTGTTTGTATTTTATTGTTATGAGGTAAAAATGCATCCTTAAGCCCATTAGAAAATTACAACAGATTCCTTGTTCAGATTTGCGGGTTTTTTTTCGTGGGAGTTGGAAGGTTGGGAGAGCGATGGTGAAAGAGTCGCGAGTTACAAGGACATGGATAGAGAGATGTGTTTGTGCGGTTTTTGCGAGGTGAAGACAGAGCAAAGTCGTCATGAGTGACAGAACATATTGTTTTAATGTAAGATTAACCGACAAACCAGTTGAACAGTGAGTCACCGATGAGTGCTGTCTGGTATTTTTCCAAGCACGACACCCATGAGTTCAAGGTCAGATGCTGTTGACCTGTTTATCAATAATAAAATTTCTCCCATTTGAATACAAAATTGAGGCTAGTTAGTAACTGGCATTTTGATTGGTTACCCTATTTGTGTCTGAGGTGCCACTCAAATTCGGTAAATGGAAATCAAGGGCAGGTAACTTGAAATTACCAGAACCATGGGCTAAGAGCTGGTTTACCGAAAAGGCTAGTCCAAGGACTATAGAGGAAGTGGCTACTGATCACGTTAGGAATTGGCATTTTTCAAGAAGCATATTACATGTACATTTGATTGGGAATTCCCCGTTTTAAGTGAAAACAGAAGCGGAATGGACGCAATTAACCATACCTTTCTAGGAATGTGGTAATGAGACATTCACACTGGAAGTATTCTGCCCCAACCATATACACGATACTCACTTTTCTGGACTTTACCTCTCATCCCATGACATGAACGATTAGGTGACCCTTAACATCTTGTGAGTAGTATACAACTATGCACATATGCTTGCAACATGTTTAAGTAGCGATGACGACGACGACGACGATGATGAAGCGTACGCTCACTACCCGGAAGTATACATGTTGTTTTACACCGCACTCAGCATTACTCCAGGTGTATGTGGGCGGTGGCGTAGTCTAGTGGTTAAAGCGTCCGCTCGTCACGGTGAAGACCTGGGTTCGATTCCCCATATGGGTACAATGTGTGAAGCCAATGTCTAGTGTCCCTCGCCGTCATATTGCTGGAATATTGCTAAAAGTGGCGTAAAGTCATACTCACCAACTCACCCCAGGTGTATGTTAGCGACCATACAAGACAGTGGTTAATATTATGAGACCCATAATTCACGTCGCCGGGCACGATGACATAATATCAAGTCGCTGACCCCGATCGCGACCTCCCTCATGAAGTCGCCTCCTCGAACTACCGGCATCGATCGAAGAGCTGAAGACCATGTATGTACACAGTGATGTAAATGTACACCAGACATCAATGAGTGTACTAGCCTGTGTCACGTTAGGCGTAACGGTAAGGCATCAACAGGTAATGAGCTGGATATAATGTATCTATAATGGTGACATGTAAAATAATTCAAACATACACAGTAAAATAATAAGATCTCTTTGTAAAAGAGGTCTCCGGCAAATACCTTATTAACTGACTCAATACTTTAAAAGAAATGTTACTTGGGCTACCAATAAATAATTCATAATGAATTCATAGCAGTGATACATCGCAACTAACTATTAGGATAAGTATTGTATGTCCGGGAAAGTATAGTTGTCCTGGATAAGCCATGAAAACACTATGCCCGAAGACCTCCTCTATATTGCCTGTATAACTGATGTCAGTACAACACTTTTGATACGAATACTTGCATCAAGGTTAGTGGGAGTGCATCAAAATATTGTCGAGGTTAGATTTAGTAGTGATTGATCAGGAAACTTGAACCGTATATACCATTGATATGTGTTCTATCGTTTTGCTGTTGTTTCACGCCGCACTAAGCAATATTCCAGCTGTCTGTAAATAATCGAGTCTGCAACAGACAAACCAGTGATCAACAGCATGAGCATCGATCTACGCATTTAGAATACGATGACAAGTGTCAACCAAATCAGCGAGCCTGATCACCCGATCCCGTTCGACGCCTCTTACGACAAGCACAATCTTAAGAACAATTCTAACCCGGATCTTCACGGGTGTCATAACTACTGATGTTCATAAGAATCTCGTCATATAGTGTTCACGTTTGTTACGTAAAAAGGGGAACGGTTTACGACGCCCCGATCTCAGGACAGACATGCAGACAGATTGTTTTATATACAAAACAGCACAATATTGTGTCAATCACGGGATGTACAACAATCCTGTTGAACAGGTAATATAGGCGAGTCAGTACATAGTGAGTCTGCTAAGAGGGAGAATACTTCAGGTTAATACCTTTGCTGTATGTGTGTTAATTCCTATGTGAGAACAAATTCATCGGCGACAATATCCATAGGTTAAACAGCAATGTGGATAAATGTGTTCAATATCTCGACTTAACTGTTCTGTCCTATTTCTAGTAATACTGCACATGTTACTGCGAAAAGTCTACGCATATTATACGACGCATAGTGTTACCATAGTGTTACCAACAAACAATGAACAAAGATGGCGAAAGCAGTAGTGGCGTGGCATTATGCGACTGAATACTGAACATAACCATGTATGGTTAGTTTGTTGTTTAACACCGTGCGCACTGGGCAGCAATATTTCAGCTAGCTAGCTAGCTAGCTAGCTATCTATCTAGCTATTTAGCTAGCTATCTAGCTATCTATCTATTTATCTATCTATGGCGGGGGGTTGTAAATAATTGAGACCGGACTAGACAATCAAGTGATCAACAATAGTGGCATTTCGATTTCTGTAGCCGATTGACAACACCAATTGAAGCCATTTATAACAAAGTTTTACAACTGATAATGAGCGCATTTAACGATATGATCAGGAGAAAAACAAACAAACAAAAACACGTCACAGAACACAACATGATTACACATCACCATCACCTCTCTCAAAATGTTGTACGTCCTACTTTTAGTTTTATTCCCGTTTGTCTAACAAGTTCTGAGTACAGCAATAAAAAAAAGATTAGTTTCATTTTTTCTATCCAGACATAATGGCTGTTATGACCACATCGGCTGTTTTTTTAAGGGACTGGCAACCGATAATCTCTGTCAACCTCAGTCCGTGCGGTGATCAAGGTTAACAGAGTTGCTTCCCTTGTATCGCAGGACGGGAAAAACCTGATTTCACGACGAAATAGTTCTTGCAGAGTATTTGTTACTTACATTAAACTATTCTACTTCTAGCCATCTAGTATCACTATAGTGACTCTTAGACACGTCATTAGTATGCATAACTGCAGTACACAGTGTACACAACACAAGGCATGGCCACACGACGAAAGATCAACACGCTTCATATACCATCTTGGGATATATATGTAAAATCGATTCACAGAGAAACTTACCTGAAATAAATCGACTTGTCCCCTGAAGAATTATTGTCACCACTCACGCAAACGGAATCTCAATCGTTACCACCGGGGTAATTGGCGGTGAAAACTGAAACACTTCGTACCTACTCGTATCAACAAGTACACGTGTTTTACTTCCGGAAATGTCGCCAGGGAGAACTCGTTGTTGTATTTTATCACTTACGCCACATGTGTAATATGATGCCGTGTAGAGTACAAATGATAATGATATATTAAACCATGTATGAGTATATACATTTCTAAATACAAAATACCATATCTATTTTAGAAAGGTGGAGTATTAGTCCTAATAGAAACTATAGTTACACAATACAAGGATAGCTCAGTTCGTCCTTGACATTTACGGATCTGGCGCAATATTTTGACTTTCTTTCTCTGTGGCTGCTAATACAACGGAATGGCCGAGGGTAACTATTTCTCCCTGGACGACATACTGGCAACACAGGAGAAAATACCATGTAAACTTGTAATGCCAATTTATCGTTTAGGTGAGTATATTTTCTGGCGTACTGATAAATGTTTTGACTTTGGAATCAACCTGCTTCGTCTAAGATTCAGAAATACCGATAGGTAATTGGAGGTCCTAAATTTAGACACCCCCGGGTTGTAATCGTATGTTGACATTTCGGCATATGTATGTTTACTGTGTGTTTGTGTTTACAGGTATTTGAAATAATTCACGGATCTTGTTATCATGATTATTCATTCACTATCTGCATGATGCTGATGAGTGAGAGCGTGAGTTTTGTTTTACGCCGCCTGTAGCGGGGTTCACCAAAAACGGGCATCACACATTGTACCAGTGTTCACGAATGGTGTTTCAAAGTAACAGGACATTGGGTCCTGTAAGTTTCATATAGACCCATAGAATAAAATTAAACACACATTTCAGATTTAACATTTCATATAATTGGCACTGAACTTATTAACAAACATACGATTTGTAAACAGCAAACAAGTGTCACATAAAGTCAAAGTCATTGTGAAATATACAGACACTGGGGCTGGCATGTTGTAGACTTCTATTGGACCACTGGCAAATCTGCTGGATATGTCAGAGCGTCAGACACTATATGTGAACACTGATTGTACCCATGTTTGGATCCAACCCAGGCGAACGAACACCTTAACCACTAGGCTAAGCCCCACCTCCTCTCTTAATTAATAGGTGGATCCAGTTCAGAGATAATCGTTTGTTTGTTGTTTAGCGCTGCATTCAACATTATTCCAGCTATTTGACCATGTTGACAGCAGAAATATAATTAATGATTAAACACATTTAGCAGAAACATGTTGCATATTTGGCACATTCACACCATACATGGTTCAGACAATATCTCTGGTCAGATATAGAAAATTTACTGGACTTGGGCCAGCATACCAGTTGCAGAATAAAACACAGAGCATTGTTTTTAGATAAGTAGTTAACTTGAAATGACTATGCAGGGTTTATTTTGTTGCAGGGTATTTGGATCCAAGTTCTGAAAGCGATAACATTCCAGTAGACACTAAAATAGAACTTCCTTATTGGATGGCACGAGCATTGTGTAGTCGTAAACGCCACATTGTTAGCGTTGAAATGCCCAAACAGTACAGGGAAGGTTACAGAGAAATATTGTCTGCTGACGCCAGTGTTGTGGACCTGCACAAGTTGGGACCATTCTTCTACAGCTTTGGTTCACAACTCTTAAACTTCGAGCATCCAGAGGGAACTGATATAGCAAAGTGCTTACTGAAGGTGAGAAATATTAACCTGTACTGATATGAATGTATTATCCTGAAGATAATAACTGATGAGAACTGAAGTAGTAAATCAGATACAAACACGATTAGGCCTATAAAAAAATAATGTTCCGATTACCCGACCAACACTTGAACTCTGGTGCCGACCCTATATTTTTTAAGAGGTATGAATAAAATAAGCTTTCAGATACCATTGTTTTTTCCCGACACAGACGGACATCGGTCATTCTGATGGAGAAAGTCGACATGATGGCTGCAAGCTTGGTTGAATAAACAATTACACATTGATAAATGTGTTATTAGTTCGTACTTTACTTCTAAATAAAAATGTGAAAAAAGAATATTCCTACCTACCTACCCTAAATTTTAAAGATGTGTAATCGGAACCACCGCATTTTTTTTATTCAGCCTTAACATCAAATGGTTACATTTGGCATAATTACAAACAGGCAAACATGTACTGGCTATGAAATGTCCCATCTCTTGTGTTTAGGATTTGTACCATAGACCTGATAACCAATGAGGTCGGATGCCTCAACCACATGATCAAAGAGATTAACCTTTGTTAGCGTGCTGACAAGTTAAGAATGTATTCCACACCATCCACACATGAATCAGCAAAGCAAAACCTGTACATGTACAAATGATGTGAAGGCCAGGCCAACTAGTTGGACTTGTGGAGCATTTTCCAGGGTAGTCGATTGGTCACATAATTGGCTGGGTCATTCTCTCCACGCATCAGGCAGCTCATGATATACATGGGGCAACGGACACAGCCTGTACCAGATTCAAGGATTCCAAAATAGATTTGATTTGCAATGATAGACAAATTGGTTTCTACGTAGTTGTGTTTGCATTTTATATGCTATAGAAAAATTAAATATTGCACCTCATTGTAATTTTATATTTGTGACAAAATCGTGGTAAATGAATGAAATGGAATAAAAGTTGTTGGTTGTCAGAAAGTACATACTGGTTATCTGACATGATCTGCACCAGACAGTTTGTTTCAATTAATAACATTGTTTACATTCCTGTTACATATCATAATCATAATGATATCAATAACAATAAATGGGTATCTGGTGGATAAGTCATGAGATTATTAACCTAAATAACCTTCTAGTGCCTCTCGGGCAGCTTGGGTTATCCGGGATGGGTCCTAGTCAAATTTTAAAAGGGCCTTAACTGCTGAGTTTGTGCTTGAGGCTGACAGGACCAGCCAAGTGTGTAAACTGAATGAGATCTTTACAAATGAAGACTTAGTATGGATTTGTCATAATCATAAATGACAAGTGTTTTGTTAATAAATAACCATTTCATACATCTATTCTTTCTAGTAATCATTTTCTTTCTAATATTGAAAAACTGTCTATTAAAAACAGGACTAGTATGCATAAAATATACATTGTATAGATGTATAACCTTTTACTGTAATACACTTCTAAGAAAAAGATGCTACTATTAATTTTTGTAAATGGGTCCTGTTTGACTAGGGGTCTGAGGCCCTTTTGACCTTTTGATGCGGCCTTTTTGACTAGGGGTTTGCATCCCTTTTGACTTTCTTGCATCCCTTTTGACTTTTCCATTTTTGCAGCCCTTTTGTCATGCAGCCCTTTTGACCGTTTCCATCCGGGATAATATTGATCAGGTTGTATGTTGGCACTTTGAGTGTGCCCCTCCATGGTGCAGACTTCAGCTCATTACAAATGACCTTATTATTATTATTATCTTGAGTGCAAATATAAACACCCACCTGTCTGGAGGAATGATTTGATTTTTTTATTAGAAACATATTACATTCATGATCATTGTTCGAGTGTCTGCTGAGGTTGTTTACCATGTTTAGACTTTGTTTTAACATGGAATGTTTGGGATTGACACTAGCAAGAACAAGGCCTAAAACAAAACGTTTTGGTTCCTATTACCCGACCGACCCTTGAATTCTGGTGCCAACCCTATTTTTTTTAAGCGGTTTGAATAAAATAAGCATTCAGATGCCATTTTTATTCCCCGGCACCGCCGGACATCAGTCATTCTGATAGAGAAAGTCGACATGCTGGCTTCAAGCTTGATTAAATGAACAATTAAACATTGATAAATATGTTATTAGTTCTTTAAAAAAATCTTACCTACCTACCTACCTACCTACCTACCTAACAACCTATCTTACTACCTACCTACCTAACAACCTATCTTACTACCTACCTACCTAACTACCTAACTAACTAAATGTTAATGAGCTGAAATCGGAACCACAACATTTGATTTATTGACCCAAGATATGTAACCAGACTGATAACTGACTTCATAGATGATGGATAATATTTACATGTTTAATCAGTGACATCTTTTGGCATGTGTCACATGATTTATGTAACTGTTTATATCCATTGATTGGCTATGTCCCAAGCCTTTTATCTGACTGATACATACACTTTGAAATTGTCTTAAATATATAATTTATTTACAGACTTTCCAGTCTAGATTCCGTAAAATAATGGATTCTTCCCAGAATGCCTTGAACGAAGACAACTCTCAACTGACTGAGCGACTGGACGAGACAGAGAAGGTTTTGTTTTGTGCTGGACAGAAGGGACTCAACAATTTCCTCCGATGGGAGAAGAGGGAAACCGAGAAACTGGTGATGTCAGCCATGGTTCAAAATCACAGGAAGAGGAAGCGAGCTATCATGGAGAGATCCTAACAAACAGAATCATCTCTGATGCACTAGAAATCATCACAATTGTACAATGAATTACTAATAGCAGCAAAATATAGACAGGATATTTTGTCTGGCTCCAAATTCAGCAGAAAGTCTGTTGCCCATGTCTTGTCAAATTTAGTGTTTTCAAGGAGGCGTGATTTAAATAATCCATTTTTTATGTATGTTCGCACTAAAAATTACCGAAAGTGATGCCAAGAGTTGATTTTTGTTTTGTAAACGCTTAGGTTGGCAGTCTGATTAACATTCCTACTGACATCAGATGATCAGAGCAATGTTTCAGATATAGTATTTAAATCTTAATGATGCCCCTTAGATTCTAAATGTAACACAAAGTATAGGTTAAAAAACTGATTGGAGATCTGTCTTCAGGTAAATAGGTAAATGTTTTGTTGCCAGTGGGGAACTTTCATAGGGTGTACGTTTTGTGGCTTTGAAGTCCAGGTTTGCCACCCACACAGTTAGGTTTACCAAAGTGTCAAATGTCTCTTTTACTGTTTAATACTGCTCTCTGCCATGTCGGTAGGGTTGTTTGGTGATAAACATTACCAGTTGAAATGCCGTACAATTGCTTCTCACTTGTGTAAGGTTATTTGATAGTTAGAAGGGGTACATTTTCGTTTGTCTGTAGACAGTGATAGAGACTGTTAGGACACAAGTGACAGAGGAATGCAGATTTGTCATTGTCGAGTACTGTCCTTGTCACATGTAATTATGATAGAGCAATAATGTGTGGATGTCAACTTCTTTATTATCAGGAACACAAGGAATATCCTCCCTGAGTCAGGGAGCATATATACGTACATGGAAGAACAACCAAAGTAACACCATAACAAAGCAGGGCCTAGATTTTCGAAGCTCTCTTAGCGCTAAATAGTCGTAAGTGCCATACCTTAACATTAACTTAGGACTATGTTAGCACTAAGAGAGCTTCGTAAATCTAGGGCCTGGAGTCTTATTTCTTTTGCTGTTACATGTACATATATACATGCTCTCTCTCTCTCACCGGTGAAGGTCCGGGTTAGAATGAACCTTCAGTAACCCATGCTTGTTGTAAGAGGCGACTAACGGATCGGGTGGTCAGGCTCGCTGGCTTGGTTGACACAAGTCATCAGTTCCTAGTTCTGGATTGTCTGGCCCAGACTCAATTATTTACAGACCGCGGCCATATAGCTGGAATATTGCTGAGTGTGGCGTAAAACTTAACTCACTCACTCATAGATATCTCATCACGATTTATCTCCTTTTGACCACTCAGTTGCAGAGCCAATCCTAAAACTAAATTTACTCACTCACTCACTCTTAGTTTTCACAATTGGAACTTTGTAGCGAGGGTCTTGAGGGAGGAGGTTGTATTACGAATGTAAGTAGTGAGTTGGGTCTAAATGCTCTAAAAATGATGACATCAAAGACTGGATAACATTAAAATCTCTCTCTCTCTCAAACATTATGTAATCACTGCAGGGGTGGAAATAACTTTAAAATTGCTAGTGTACTCCGGTACAGTGGCACATGTAAAATCACTTGCCCTTGTGATTTTTCCACTATACCGGCCGTTTTCTTGTTGATTCTTTAAATAAACAACATAATTAACATTGGAAAGTCAACTGGACACCGGTACAGTGTGATATACAAATTTGCTTGCCCGACAGAAAAAAACGCTGGACTCGGGCGTCTGGGAATGGGTTATTTCCACCCCTGCAGTAATCCTCCAGATGTTGTATTTACTTCTATTTATTAATAAATATTCAACCATTTCATTTGTGCATATTTCTGCATTGTGTTTATTGAGGAATGTAGACGTCTTTTTAATATCCAAAGACTGAGATGGATGACAGGCCTTTGTGGGTTTGAAAGATCGTGCAGGTGTAAAACATGTAGACTAGGATGTTTCTGGGCCATGTACACACGGGAGACTTGAGTGTACCGGCAGACTGCGTTCTGTTCAAGACGATCAGCACCTGCTACTATATGACAGTCTCTCCATAACCAGAACCCCATGGAGAATTAAGCATGTGTTTCGTGACGTATGTGAACCACATGCCAACATTAATCAGTCATGAGGGTCAACGTGCGGATGTCATGTCCAGGAACTCTGACGGACTCCGGTCGTCTTCTTTAATACCCACACAGCAACATTCTCGTCCCGTACACTTCAGTAGCTACTCTTAAATGTCAAACGTCAGTACAAAAGAATGTGAAGTCTTGACCTTCCTCAGAAAAGTTAGGGGGTGATTTAACACCACTTTTAGCAGTATCATGGCGGGGGGACACCTGAAAAAGGCTATATACGTTGTACCCACGTGGGGAATCGAACCCGGATCTTCTGTATCACAAGCTGAAGAGTGAACATGAACAATTACCAGGTGCTTCCTGAACTTGCTGAGTGTAGCAAATCCACAATAAGATAACAAAGTGATTTATCCCTTGTCGAGTAAGTACTTGTAATCATGCAGTCGTCGGTATGCCAGCTATATTGCTGAAGCCGAATCGGGCCTTCAATCGCCCTTTCGGCAACACTCGTACCTTTCCGTAGCATGCAAACAGCTTGTGCGAGGGTGACACGAGTTAGTCCGGAAGGAACCCCGTCAACAACCCTTAAGGATCTATCTCGCCTGGTGCTCAATTTCCCTCTACACCGGTTACTTAGGGTCTATCTCGTCTGGCGCTCAGTTTCCCTCTACACCGGCTACCTAGGGTCTATCTCGCCTGGTGCTCAGTTTCCCTCTACACCGGTTACCTAGGGTCTATCTCGCCTGGTGCTCAGTTTCCCTCTACACCGGCTACCTAGGGTCTATCTATCTCGTCTGGTGCTCAGTTTCCCTCTACACCGGTTACTTAGGGTCTATCTCGCCTGGTGCTCAGTTTCCCTCTACACCGGTTACCTAGGGTCTATCTCGCCTGGTGCTCAGTTTCCCTCTACACCGGTTACCTAGGGTCTATCTCGCCTGGTGCTCAGTTTCCCTCTACACCGGCTACCTAGCTGTCTCAGGTAAGTGTGTTGTCACAGGGGCTTCGTCTATTCCAGTTATAACGCTACACACCTGTCCTACTGTGTACAGGTAACACTACAATGGTTCATCTAACTGAGCACGGCGTATTATGTCTACTTGCATTACTTCCTTGATGAGCTTCTTGACCTCAATACTGAGATTTATCCCGATTTATGTGGATGTATGTATCGTGGGTATGTTATCACTTCATCCTACATCCAGCTTCTAACGCTTCTAAAATACAGGATTGTTTATGTGTAATGTTGTTGTTGCATGAATGTTGTGGCTTGTTTTGTGGATATTGGACATGGGCGTTAAAGGGGCACTGATCCAGAGCGATTAATATTTCCAGCCAACAGTCTAATTACGAAGCCAAGCTGGAGCCTTGTCAGCACCTACTCCCTCGACCGTGACGGACACGGGGACTGGGCTACTGTCCACCTTGGCAGAATTTCTTAACCTAAACAGTGGGACATTAGGAAGGGTGGATGCCCTTCAGATGCCGTTATTTGATTGGCCAACGCTTGTACATTTGCACATTCTATATAAATTCGCGGGAATATTTACTTTCATCGAGTGCTTGACTCGGAGGAAGTGTAAGACTGGAAGACGTAAAATCCATCTTTCCAAGCTTGGAAATGTCTTGGAAAGATGATGTTTCCAAGACATTTCCAATTTTGGAAAGATGATGTTTCCAAGACTTTCCAATTTTGGAAAGATGATGTTTCAAAATTTCCAATCTTGGAAATATCCGCAAGGGAGATAACTGGTGGGTGATGGTAAATTATTGTTCTGCATGGGCTAATTGCAATAGTGGCATGGGGCGGCGTGAGTGTTTCATGGGGTCGTTAAGGCGACTGGCGGTAGTCTTTGATGTTTGGTGTTGTTTTAGTAATGATTGTTTAAGGGGTTAACGAAAGGATTATCGACTTGACTAGTCGAAATTGCAGTGAACACATTTTAAGTGTTCAATGTTGTGGGTGAAAAGTGAATTTGTCACGTTGAGTTTAAATATGTATCATCATAAGCTTATATCTAGTCAGTGAGAGTTAATTTCGTACAAGGGCCACCGACCCGTTTTACAATTATAAAGATGAAAATACAATCCAGCGCCATATATAATATTAAGCTGTATGCTAACGTGTACAATGTCTAATTTAATCTTATACTCTATATTCAAAAACTTCGCTCTTTTTGTCAATGTTTCACATGGATTATTTATGTAGTATTGTGGGAGAAGGCTGTTTCTCAGATCACAGTAAAATGAACATTCAATAAAGAATTGGTACTCTGATTCAATGGTAAGTACAATACACAGAGGGTAGAATCACTCATGTTGTTTTATATTTACTTTTCGCCCTTATTCCAACATTAAAGGATGGTCTGAACAACGAAACTTACTCAAAGCAAAACGAATCGTTGCGTTGCTGTCAATCGTTGCGTTGCCGTCCTGGGGGGTCGAGTGATGGTGTCACCATGCACTAATTTCCACCGGACCCCGCAGTTCGTGCTAAATCATTTAGTAAATGAGTTATGTTTGTGAGTGCGAAACAAGCGTTGTGGAAGCTTGGAACGATATCTTAAATTTGTCCAGATCACTTCGCGGAAGTTAAAGAATCAAACTACTTACTACTTGTAATACAATATATATATGATTGATGACCAAACATATTTTCCATGACACAACTTGAAGCATAAAGATTTCTTTCTCGGAAGCGAGGTCGTGGTGGAAGTGACAATAAATATTGTAAGTAGTGTTATATTGACACCCACCTCGCTTCCTCGAGAGAAATTGTTATGATATAAGATATGTCACGCAAATCCTATTGGACATCAATCAAATACATATTTTACTACCAGTAGAAAGTAGTTTTGATTTTGTAACTCGGTGAAAACAAACCTAAATAGCATTTATTCTCAGACTCGCGGATGTTCGCGCTGCCATTTTTAATAATCGTAACATGACGGGCTAAAGTCTGTTAAAGAATTAATGAGATTATGGTTTGTTTTCATCAAGTTAGAAAAGCAAAACTACTTTCTACTCGTAGTTAAATATGTATTGGAATCATGGCCAACAGGATTTGGCATGACACAACTTATAACATAACGATTTCTTCCTCGGAAGCGAGGTGGGGGTCGAAGTGACATACTGCGCAATAAATATCTTGCTACATTCCCATGGTTAATGTCCACTCACCAGTATGTAGATACTAGTCAACGTGCGTCTTTCTATTTGGTCTTATAATCCTAATTAGTTTATTATCAGGCGATCTGCCTTTACTTATAACTTGAATATCTAGACATTGTAAATCATAATTCGCACACACGCCCTAGTGCATGTTGTCTGTCTCATTACTTCACGACGAAATCATGGATTCTGTGGAATGCTGCGACAAATGAATAAAAAAAAAAATGCAATTATTAAAACTAAAACAGGTAGTTATAATGATGTCAGGCTATTACTTTGTTCAAGGAATGTATCCATCAATATCCACAAAAACGAGCCGTATGCCATTCACCTGCAGCTGTTCCAAATGATGTGTCTTTTAACAGTCTAATAC